TTGAAAGTTTGCTATTAAGGGCACTTTATAGAGGAATTTTGGTTTTTTTAATACTGTAAAATTTGATTTACGCCACATTTTTCTCGAGTTTTTCGCTATTTTTAAAGCTTAATGGTTCGAGTAGCAATTGTTAATTTGTCACATTCAGTAGCCGATTTTCATAAATTTGTTGTTAAAAATTGGTAGAACCTGAAGCGTTGCTTTTAAGGGAACTTAGTGAGAAACTCTTGCTCTATGAATCCTGCAAAAGTCGAGTAATTTTCTTCGAGTCCTGATCAATTTTGAAAAGGTGATGGTTCAAGTAGCAATTCTTAATCGGCCACATTCAGAGGACAATTTTCATAGATTTGTTGATAAAAATTGCGACAAGTTGAAAGTTTTCCTTTAAGGGCACTTTATAGAGGGACTTTTGTTTTTTCAATACTACAAAATTTGATTTAGGTACAGCTAATTTTTCTCGAGTTTTCCGCTATTTTTAAAGCTTGATGGTTCTAGTAGCAATTGTTCATTTGACACATTCAGTGGCCGATTTTCATAAATTTGTTGTTAAAAATTGGAAGAAGCTAAAACGTTGCATTTAAGGGAAATTAACAGATAAACTCTTGCTCTATGAATCCTGCTAAAGTCGATTTAGGTTTAATTTTCCTCGAGTCTTGAGCAGTTTTTAAAAGTTGATGGTTCAAGTAGCAATTCTTAATCGGTCACATTCAGCGGACAATTTTCAAAGATTTGTTGATAAAAATTGAGGCAAGCTGACAGTTCTTCTTTAAGGGCACTTTCTAGAGGAACTTTGTTTTTCTTAATACTGAAAAATTGGATTTACGCCCTATTTTTCTCTAGTTTTTCGCAATTTTTAAAGCTTGATGGCTCGAGTAGCAATTGTTAATTTGTCACATTCAGTGGCTGATTTTCATAAATTTGTTGTTAAAAATTGGGAGAAGCGGAAAGGTTGCTTTTAAGGGCACGTTGTAGGCAAACTTCTGCTCTATGAATGTGGGAAAAGTCGATTTACGCCTAATTTTCCTCGAGTTTTGAGAAATTTTTAAAACTTGATGGTTCAAGTAGCAATTCTTAATCGGTCACATTCAGAGGGCGATTTTCATATTATAAATTTGCTGTTAAAAATTGGGACAAGCTGAAAGGTTGCTTTTGAGGGTACTTTATAGAAGAAGCTTGCGGTTTTTCATCAAAAACATCAGATCGATTTGTTCGGGAAAACGTAGATCGTACCCACTTTTGCCGAATTTTCTGAATTTTGTACCTATTTTGGGCCTCTTCTCTACTACATTTTACAGGGTTTTCTCGAAATTTAAACTTTCAGAAATGAGACTAGCTAATTTCAATTAATTCTGCAAGTTTTTGCCGGATTTGTTGTGGACTCCAAGCAATCAGTTAAACTCGAAAAATCAGCAAATTTAGCACGCAGATTTGCAAAAACTGCTAATAAAAATAGAGCTAAGCTAGAAGGTTGCTTTTGAAATCATTTAAGAAAGAAATACTGCTTTACCATTGCCGCTAAAGCCGATTACCTCAAAACATGTCACCATTTTTTGCGATTAGCCACTCGTTTGCAAACGTTAAAAACCTTCAATTTATTCTGTCTGCAAGAGTCAATTTTTCTATAACTTTGCTGGATTACTCTAACATTCACAGATAAACCCATTGCATATTGAGGGTAAACAAGCGTTTTATCTGCGATATTATCTTTCATAGTAGCCAAACACACTTGAATGTTTGTATGAGCGATGAATCATGCAGGTAACGTGAACTCATCGATTTCCTATAGGGATGTTCTATTCAACCCTTCCATTACGAAAAAGCTGAAATATCGGGTTATGCAAAAATAGCTGCAGCCCATTGGTGTGGTCAGTGATCAAAGAAAATCGAGCAAATTACGCCCTGCCCTTGTTCGAGAGCTTTATAACATAATTAGAATATGTTCCAGGGCGATGGCAACGCTTTTTCGTGCAATTTAATCCAATTTTAGGTCACCACAGGGTTCTTTCAGTTTGATTGGCAAAAAATTGCTTTTAATGCTGAGGAAATCTAAGCGCGGAACCCAAAGTCTTCATATTTTTATCTAAGGTGGCTTTTTTGCTGATCTTGCTTGACATTAGCTAGTTTTTCGTGGACAAGAATTTCTCTTGGTTTATTCTCCGCAGCAACTAACTCTGAAGATGCCAGCCACTCGTGTTTGCAAAACGCCGGGAAGAAATTATTGTCCACAATGTTGATGCTCACACTGTAAATCCTTTTCAGTTTTCAGCGCTTAAACAGTGATAGAACGCAAGTCAGGTGGAGGAATCGAGACTGGAAATTGGATGGAGAAGCGAAATATGAAAACAACGCTGCTTGTTTGAAATTACTCACTGCAAGGCGCCGTCATTCGGTTCGAAACGCGCCTCCGGTTGTAACGAAGAACGCTCTTGAATACCGTAAAACGCGAGTGCGGAACCTGGTGGTTTGTTTGTTGCTGCTTTTTGGATTTTTTAAAGTTTCTGGTAAGTCACTTTCAATCCATTGAATCCGTGATCTATCTGATGTCAGAAGATCATCAAACCTTCTCCCTTACAGCAAACTTAGTCTCATTTTTCCCATGGCTGTGGTAATCGCATCGTTCTGGTTGTTTTGCCAGCTTGCAATTAGGCGCGCAAAAAAGCAACAAATAAAAATTATTATAATTCTTGACCCAATTTCAACACCACGAAAAATTACGTTGACATTGTTTTCAACTAGGATTGCATTCTGTGATTGCAAATCTTCATTGAGCGACAAGCAATGGTTAAATGACTTGGAAAATTTTCAAATTAACTTTTTTCCTTTTGAACCATTCTCATTTTATGGCTGGCACTGAAAACCCATTTACTACGTACATGCACTAATTGTTAATCGCTCAGAATTGAGCAACAATTAAAATGCTAAATACCCACTTCATGTTTCTCGACTGTTATTAACATGCTTAACAAAACGTTGCAACTAACAAAATTATTTAACCGGACTTTATTAAGCCAGTAATCAGTTTTGTTTAATAAAATGCGCAACTTGATGTGATGTCATGGTTATTTCCCCAGGATGGTTTAATGGAAACCTTCTTGTTTGGTTGGAGCAGACGCTTAATTTCGCTCGAAGATTTACCTGCATAACTGGGAAAGTTATGTAGATGCGTCTCGTAGGCAAACAATGAGCGAATATTAAATTCCGGAAACGGATGCGGTTGCAGTTGAGTAAATATGGACCGCAGTTGTCTTCAATGTTTTTTTGTTTAAGGCTTTTTGCTTAATGCGCTGCAAACTTACCAAAATTTCCTAGCTTATCTAAAGTGCGGTTTTCAAGCCCCAAAAATACATTTAATATCTTAGTGAGCAAATAATACGAGGCCCCAAAATTCGAGCTTGATATGGAGCTGCAATAATGTTCTAATTTGATTTTAAAGTAAGTTCGAAAATTTTTGCAAAATTCATCGTTGTTCTAAATTCCTTAAAATTGTTCGTATTTTAAACAAAATATTTTTTTAACTAATTGCCACAATTGCAGTTTTATTACGGCTGAAGTTCGGGAGTTACGAATTTTTAAACGCAATCCTGCAAAAGTGGTTGGCTCATCTCATTTAGGCAGCAAATTTTGATTTTTTTGCGCGAAGCCGCAAAAATTAAATTGGTGTGCCATACGTACTTTTCAATAAAGAGTTTGCGAAACATGCGGTTTTTTTGCTTCAAATTCAAAGCTTTTATAACTCATTTATTCACTTTCATTATGAACTTTGGGAATATCTAAAAACGTTTGGAAAGCTCAAAACTCATTAGAACTATCGAAAAACTTGGGAAATCCACAAGCAAAGTTTCACTTTAACATTTGGCCGATTTTGGGAGTTACAAATTTTCAAATGCAGGCCTTCAAAAATGAGTGGAATTCTTACATTTTACTACTTTTTAACTAACTTTTACAGATTCAAATCGATTTCGATTTCTTATCAAAACCAACAAGTTCACAATTCTTTTGAGGTAAAGAAATGCTCTAGATATTAGTTGCAAATTTATAAGTTAAGTGCCGGGTATATGAAGAGATGGATTTTGTCACTAGTGTTCCAAGAGTCTTTAAAATGTCCATTTATTCTTCATACAAGCGGATACTTACTATTAAAAAATAGCTAAAAATTGATTTTTTAACGTCTTTTCTTGGGCAGGTACTTTAGATTTTTTGGTGGTTCTACCCAATCACCAGTCAGACTCGACCCCAAAACATGCTCAAAATATGAACATTTTCAACTGGAAAACTTTCCAACTTTACCCAAAGAAGTATAAGAAGAAGAAAAAGACTCGCATTCGATCACAATTTAGTTATTTGCAAACTGCAGATAAACACAGTCTGCATGCACTGCATAAGTCGTATGCTTGTTAATACAAAGTGCTTAAGTTTGTCAGTATTTTGCACAAAATTATGGTCGATTTTTCGCTGGCAGAGCAGGATGTTAACGTTTAGTTAAGGTCAAAAAATCCTCGGTCATTTAATGAGTTATCAAGATTATTTAACTTAATTATTCTTATCTCTACCAAAGCAATGTTATTTTGACAATAGCAAGCAAAGACTTAAGGCTCAAAAGTAGGCCTGCCGTAACCCTGTGTTGAGTTGCGCTTTTCAGTTGTTTCCGTTCTCTGAGTTAATGAGTTACAACTCGTCGGTTAATGGGTTATAACACACGCACTGCGCCAACTCCTGAAAATTCACTGAATTATCGATGCTTAAATCAGAGTGTTTTTGGCTCTAAGCCAGTGTCGTGCGCAAAGGGCTTGGCACAACTTCGACAGCCCAAAGTGTCGATCTTCGAGAACGACACTGGTTTTTGGATAATCCTTTCCAGGCGTCAGTTGAAAGTGTTTTTTGGGTTCAGCACAACATTAGACACTTTTGGATGTCCCTAAATGGCTTGGCATCGTTCCATCGCCAGTAGATTCGCAGAAATTGATTAAAGATCTTTTGCGCTTATTTTATTCCTGATGATGGTGCAAACATGAAACTTTCATACTCACTCTCCACTTGGTTTAATCTTGCTTAGTTTAGCAGATATATTTTTGAAGTGCAGTTCACGAAGAAACACTCGCAGCCCAAGTTGGAAGGTTCCTCAAATCGACCCCGATAATCGCAGAGACAAAATCCACAGATTAATGCGCTCTCTTTCCAACACACTCTTTGGCTACGTTCTATTTCACTCGGTTTGGCCGAGATGAATTTTTGGAAAATTCCGACGCAATTTACACACAGTTTCTTTTAAATTTGAGTTGGCCACCTGCCTGATGATGGCTCAAAAGCAAAACTTTCCCCATCGCGAGAAGAAAGTGCGCTCTTTCGAATGCATGATTCGGCATCAAGCCATCTCACTCACTTTGGCAGAAATTATTTTTTTAAATTAACTGCAACTTAGATTGAACTTCTCTTGAACTAGTGTCAAGGCAAAAAGCACTGTAAACTTGTCAATTGATTAGTGTTTGCCAAAAAATATCTCTGTCGTCCTCGACGATCTCCGTTCAACTTTTACTCCCAGAAAACTCGCTTGTGCTTCTGGTTGCTCGAAAATGCAAACACGAACTTCACTAGATCAAATTTGACTCCGGCCGGAAGCCTGGGTAACACTGTGTTGAGTTGTTGGCACTCTCTGAGTGTTATGAGTTGATGAATCATAACTCATTTATTAAAGCGGTTTAAGGCTTTAAGGCAATTAAAAAACGTTTTTCCAACCACGAAACTAACTTGTTGCGCCGGTGCGCTGAGCTGGCGCACCAAGCCATTTCCGTAGCACTGCGTCAATTTCTAAAAATTCACTGAGTTGTCTAGTCAAACTCAAAAGTCACTAAGCACATGAACATTTTCAATTGCAAAGCTTTGCTGGTTTTCCAAGCGTTTCCTTTAGCTGAAAAAAAAATTGCGAGGAAACACGAGGAATATGGAAGAAAATGATTAAGGAATTTCAAAAGCAGTTCAAACCCAAATCCCTCAATCTGTTTCCAATCAATTGAAGCCACAAATTAACCAAAAAATAGCCATTTGGTTCTAATAGACGACTTTACAGCCAGAGATACCTTTTTTATCGCATCCCAGTCCTAATCTGAAAGCCATTTTATCTTATCGTTGTGTAAACTCTAAATTTAGTATTAACTTTTATTTAATTGTGCCCGATAACATTTAACCCCAATCTTGCCGCTGCTAGTTTAAAGATAAAAGCTCACGTTGCACTGTCATATGCACATATCACTGGTTTTCATAACAAATTGCGCAAAAAATGCAGCATTTTATTCCCATTAGCAATTTGCTATTGAACAACCAAACCTGCCCATATTACCATACATTTCAATAACTCATAAGAGCTTTTTTTTGCGATTAATCTGGGTGCAACGCTCTTGTTTTGCTGAACTGAATACAATGGAAAGATACTGTTTCCGAAGATTTTCTGGTAAAAATTGAGTTAAAAATGAAAAAGCCTCCAGTTGAAAAATGCGCACTGTCTCAAGGAAAAACAACAACATTAGAATTTCTCTTTTATTTATCGCAAAATGGGTTAATTGCCACAAGGTTAACACGAGGTGACTTCAAGTGTTTTTTTCACATTAGACCTACGAGTGAAATATTATAAGCATTCTATTGCAACATCGCTCACACAAAATTGTGGAGAAACACACAATTTTGGATGATTTGCCAACAGCAACAGCAGCCGCGTTACGTCTTTTACAAAAGAACAAATAATCCGTTCTTCTGGGAACCGATGTTAATCTGAAATTTCACGTAAAAAGTCACGTGCGGAAACGATATTTTATTGGATTGTCGTGCCGAATAGAATTACATGGAAATTGCAAAAGATTTTTCAGTCTAGACTTGGATACTGAGTGCAGGAGTCAGTGCAGTGCCAACTTTGGCGATTCAAAAACAGCCAGAAACCACCAAATCAACCGTTAAAAAGCCCACTTTCAAAGAAGTGCAGCAAACTGGTTTGAATGAAAATCAACGCCGTAAAGTCTGCAAAAAATCTCCTGCTGCTTATCAGGAACGTTCTCTCTTCACATACGAGTCGCCAATGGAAATATGTGGCAAATACGAAAGAAAGGAGATGCTTCGACATGGGCCTCTGCTGATATTAAATAAAAGCATGGTTCAACCAATGCCTTGGGGGTGTGCAGGTTTCGAAGCAGGTCTCGGACCTGCCACATGGAAGTCATTCTTTTGATCAATTTGTTGGATGGATGTCGAGGTGATGAATAACATTCATTTCCAAGAACACATTCCGCAGCAACTAGAGCTTTAATTGAGCAAAATAATCCCGATTTAATTTTTTTAAGGACGAAACTGATTAGTGAAGCTGCACATGTTTGTAGAGAACATTTTCTACAGAGAAAACCAATTTTGGCGTTGTTTTATTTTACGTTTTTTGCCCATCCATTCCGATTAATGAGGAGTTATTGAAACTGCTTCTGATCTGACAAAAGCCCAGTTTCCAATACTGCCCAATCTCCCA